AAGCTCAAGCATTGTCGGCTCCTCTCGCGAGCGATTGACAAGATCAAGGAAAGCTCTCCCGGATCCAACCGACGAACGTTCGCGTGGCTGTGGGGCCAGCTCGTTGAGCTCCTCGATGAGCTCCGAGAAGAGGCCAATGAGGAATCCATCCGGGATGCATTGTTAAAGTCAGGGGCCAAAGGCACAAACCCGACAAAGAAGGATGACCGTCCGAAAGCGGCGCCAGCCGCGCCAACGCCTGCTACTCCTGCCCCGCCAAACGGTCCCAAAGGTTCTGGAAAGGGCGAGAAGGGCAAGGACCCAAAGGGTAAGGGTAAAGGCAACGGTAAGGACAAAGGCGACCCCAAAGGTGGTCAACCTCCCAAGAAGCCAAAGGCTAAAGGAGAAGGCAAAGGCGGCAAAGCCGAGAGCAAAGCTCCGCCGCCGAAGGGTAATCCACCCAAGGTGCCATGTTTTTTCTTCCCAAAGGGAACCTGCACCCGGGGTGAAAATTGCCTGTTCTTTTGACGAGACAGCTCCCGGGAAATCCAGTGCGCCAAAGGCCAGTGGAGCAGCTGCCACGGCTGTCGCCCTGACGCTTCCCACTACGGCTCGGGGTTCTTCGGTCGTTGGATCTTCCACGCCGAACAAGACAACATTCTGGAAACGATCGGGATTGAGTAGTCTGTTCCGAACGATTGTGGGTTGGTTTTCCGTCCTTCACAACGCTGTCCCAGCTGTGCTTCCCAATGAGAGCAAGAGCGCTCTCCCTGTCATGCAGACCGGCCCTTACCATGTAGATTGGATTGCCGACACCGGCGCTGGCCGGAACTTGACCTCACTGAAGGCTCTATCTCAGCAAGGTATACCGTCTGATGTGATGCAGCATGTCGCGCACTCACATCCTGTCTCATTCGCCACAGGGAACGGGGTATACACTTCGGACGAGGTGTTGACTTCCGTTGGTGCGGACTTTGGGAACAGCACGTCATACGTTATGGACGATTGTCCCATCGTGCGTAGCCTCGGTGAGCTTGTGAATGAAGGTCTTGTCAAAGGCCTTTCCTATGGCTCCCCCGCGAACTGCCTTGCTTCCTTCAGTCCTCGGATTGCGTTCAGTACGACGCGACTGGAGCCTCATTCGCACATCGTGTTGAGGGGAATGTCCCGATATTTCGGGAATCGATCAGCTTCGGCACCGTTGCCGATCGGAGGTTGGGATTAGCAGCATCTTCATCTCATGAGCCTGCATCTTCCGAGTTTGAAGATCTGTTTGAGCCGCCGGTTGAAGGTAAGGCCGAGGAGAGAGAGATCATTGACGACGAGGCGCTAGACGGCAAAGCGGCCAGATTGATCAAGGAAGCTTCGAGCGTCAGCCACCGTCTTGGGCACTTCCCCAAGAACCCCTACTGCCGCATATGCGTGCAGGCTCGCATGTATGCGAGGAGGGTCAATCGGTGCAGAGATGACCCTTTAGAGGCGAGGGGTGGGCTGGCGGAAACAGAAGCGTTCGGCGATCGTGTTGCCGCCGATCTTGTTGTCTTAACTAAGTCGTCAAAAGACGAGAAAGAGTCCACAGTCCTGGTTGTGAGGGATGAACACACGGGTTGCGTCAGGGCATTTCCGTTGTTCCGAAAGTTAACGGAAAACATTGTTCGTTGCCTCTTGCAGTTTGTTGGGAGCCATGCGGATAAAGGGCCAACAGTGGTATTCAAGTCAGACAATGCTAAAGAGCTTGGGAGCGCATGCAACCAAATGTCTTGGATCCCTGAGCCGACTCTGCCCAACAAATGGCCCCACAACAGCAACCTCGAACGCGACATTCGCACCATCGAGGAAGTGACAAGAGCTGTTCATCTCCAGAGCGGTTTTCAGATTAGACCGGGATTGTGGGTTCACAGTTGCGCTTATGCAGCGTTCGTGTTGAACTTAAAACACACCTTGAAAGGTTCTGAACACACCCGATGCATAGCTGCGGTTGGTTCCGAGTTCTCTGGACGCCAGTTGTTGTTGGGTCAACTCGTGTTCTATCGGACTGATCCCAAGAGTCGTGCAAAGTACGAGCCATCAGCTGCACCCGCGCTTTTCGCTGGATGGAGCCTTGACTCCGGCCCTGGATCGTTTAAGGGTGTGTATCCGGTTCTTGATTACCAAAAGGTAAGACTGAGAGCGCATCGTATGCATTAGCAATCAGTGTCCCAACTGAGGAGCTTTGGGTTCCAGAGGGTGAGCCAGTTTTCCCCATGCGACAAGCTTTCGAGCAAGCTCTTGAGGGTTTCTCCGATCCCAAGTGCCCGGAACTGAAGGGGTTAGAAATCCCATTTTCCCCACTTAGCGTTGACTCTGTACCTGCTGAGCGGCAGCGATACGTCGCGCTGGATAGAATCATCAAGTATGGTCCTACTCCCGGGTGCAAGGGTTGCACATTTGATTCGAGACGACACACCCCCATTTGCAAGGTTCGTTTTGATGGGCTAGTCCGCGCAGACAAAGCTGCAGAGGCTAGGGTCAAGGATAAGGGACCGTTGGAGCTTCCACGTCCCGACGAAGTAGAGGATGAAATCATTGACCCCGAACCAAAGCCCTACGATGGCGAACCTAGCGATGCTGAAGGGCCTGATGCCGCCGTTTCAGAGCACACCCCATCGTTACATGATTACCGGGATGCGGAGCCCCGTGACGATGATATTATAGCTTGTATGTCCCCTCTGAAGCCGAAGATGAGCCCGCAGCTGTCAACATTGACCTCCGGTTATCTCCAAACAGCGAGTTCCTCTGCCGTGATCGCGAGATCCGCCGAGCACCTGGATCACGCAGGAATCCCAAGCAATTGGTTGAGTATAGTTGTGGCGGTTCTGATGAATTAGGATTGGCTGCGCATGCTCACGACGTTGATTGCCTTCGCATCGGAGAGTGCGCAGTTGATGTGTCCAATTCGGATCATGTGCTTCAGATCGAGGGTCAACTTCGTCCTGGCGCACATGTTTGGTTTAATCTGCCTTCGCTTTCCTCGAAGCCCGCCTTTGCGAATAAACACGGTTCTCAAGGCAAAGCCCGAAGCAACAGGCGGAAATCCAAAGCCAGCGAAGTCATCAGGCATGCACTCCATGTGGCAGAAAAGGTCTTATCCGATGGCGGTCACGTGTCTTTTGTATGGCCTGTGAATGACGAAGTATGGCACACATCAGAGTGGAACCAGTTTGAGGGGGGTTTCCATTTGTTTCGGTCTTACTTCCGAGGTCCTTTGAGAGATACGGGACATTCGGGATTGCAACGTTGGGCCGTTTCAACCACCTCACTTCGCATTCTACAGTTGTTTGGCCAGCATGACCTCGAGTGCGACATGCAAGCCGAAGCCGAAGACCAGCACATCGGGTCTGCTTTCGAGTGCACTGCAAACGTCGCAAACCTTGGTATTGAGTCCTACTTTCCCGAAAAGTTCTACCGCAGTGTCCCCGCGATGTGTGCGACAAACGCGCTTGTTACGAGAAACCTTAGCAGGAGCGAATGGCTCAAAGACGTACAAGGCGTCAGCTCTGTACAAAAGGAAGCCGAAGGTCTCCGTAACAACCAGACTTGGGACGACGACAGTGTGCAGCATTTATGGCAACTGAAAAAGGAATCCCGAGAAACTGGTCAGAAAATAAAAGTCGCGGAATTGCTCACGCTGTGTGGAATAAAGCACTTTGAACTCGGACCACAACACCACCGCTACAAGGGACGAATAGTCTATAGGGGGGACTACGTGACCGACGCCAG